TTAATCAAGATTTGGGATTTAGCAACATACAAATATAAAATATGTGTTTAACCATGTTTGTTATTTTTAATATACACAAATATGTAAAATGTGCAATTTGGTTGCCGCCATCTTGGATTAAGAATTTTAAAAATTGAATAATTTTTTGAAAAATGTGTTTGAAAAAAATTTTATTTTTGATTATAAAAGGACAGTACATGTACTTTCTTATGTAATGTATGGTGATAATAGATGGCTTTGGCCAGTCTATGAAAAATGTATTTGAAATTTGCAAATTTGGGCATTTTAGCAAAAATTGGAATTTTTGAAAATTCCCCATTTTCAAAGTTATTTTTCTAATTTTTAAAGGCCACCAAAAACATTTATTTATATGTTTTTAGTTCAAATAGGATATGATATTTAACAATGTCTGAAAATGAAAAATGTTTATTTATCCACATTTATGGTTTTTTTTAGCTCAAATATAGCTGAAATTGAAATTTTGCAATCTCGATTCCGCCATCTTGGGTGAAAATTTTTAAGTCCTGTTACCATGGCAACCGAGGGTGATTCAAACAAACCAATATCCATTATGTTGGTTTGGGGCTATAATGAACAAATACACCAATTTTCATCAAAATCTGAGAGGGTCATGTGCCACCCTATTCTGAACCTTACAGAGACTGCTACTTAAAAAATGCCATTGGATATTTGTACATGAAACTCTACAGATATACAGTTTTGTCCAATTCTTCTAGTCATTACAAAAAAAAAAAAAAAAAAAAAAAAGACTCTTATATCTAAGAGGTACTATGCATGAAAATGACAATATCAAGTGAATAAAATATGCTTACTTGGAAGCCTTCCTTTGTTATCCGCAGCCTCTAGGTGAGTACTTAAATATGGCAAAAATGGTCTCTCAACATATTTGTGTCTTCAGCAGACCAGGCCACTGAAAGAATAAAAGCACATATATCTATAACATATTTGAATCCTCTATTTCAAAGTGATGGATACAATTTCCTTCTCCGATGACATTAGTTTTGCCTATAGGACTTTAGAAGCTTATAAAAAGAAATAGCTGTTCTGAATTTATATAGCTTACATTTCAATTTATAAAATAAAAGATAGCAATTGTTTACTTTTCTTATATGTTATTACCTGATACAGATTTCTTGCCCTCTACAATCAATGTAACAGGATTACATGTTAGATTTGTTTCTGAAAAGAAAATATATGTACACATCTTTTATTGATTGAAGCTCTCTGCAAAGCAAATTAACCACATAATAACATTAATTTTATTGGGAGGTGGACCATGCACATGCTGTTATGTCTGAAATATTATACTTTATTTTTTGATTTAATATAAACAATCTCTGCAAAACAATGTTAAAAACATAAAAGGGAATATATACTTTATTCAATTGATCATTTTCCCAAATTCAGTGTAGTTGTAAAACTGTCACTGTGTTTTAACCACTAAAAATGTTTTGCAAATAATATGATTATTTGGTAAAGGTATGCATGTTATTACATGACTGAAGTTCTTCATTTTTACCAATCTCTTTAGTTTCAGTTGCACTTGCCTCAACTGTTTGTATAGTGGTTAAATCCATTGCTGGTTCTGGTACTGAAAACAAAAACAAATCAATGTTTACTCATTTTAGTGACTGCGTCTTGTCTTTTACAGATCATGGATATCTAATGCATAGAAATATCTGTTTGGATTAAATGACACACATTTTCAAATACAAAAAAAAAAAAAAAATGTTTAAAGTAGTCATGAAGAAATTAAGCATATCTTAAGTAAACATGTAATTATGAAATGAACACAATTACCATTTTCAAGATCTCCCAACATGCGTCCCATTACTTTGACCTCCCTGAGTTCAATTGGACATTGGTAATTATCTCTGTTGATGTTTTTTTCGTGACCCATATGATCTAAAAAGACCTGCTGATCTGCTGGGCTCATGTCCAGTTGACAAATAATGTCTGTTCTTTGTGGCATTGACTGTGACACCTTCCAATCACAGTTTCTTCCAAAGCCTGGAGCTTGTGCTATAACAGATAAAGTAACAGAGTTCCAGTATCTATGCAAGTTACTTCAAAGAGGGTTATCAAACAGACTCAACAAATCCTTCTTGACTAAGTGGTAAATTTTTTACCAGTATGTATGACTAATTTTTTTTTTTTTTTTTTTTTTTTTAGAGGAGGAAGGGGAATGGAATTATATCTGTACCGGTATGTACATACATCTTGCCATCTAAAAGCAAATATTTCCACTTATAACAAGTACCTTATCGCCAAATCTAATAACATCTTCTGGTGAAAGCTCTGAAGAATCTTGAAGGTCACTCTCTGTAAAAGTAGCCAAAGACTGAACCTCACACACAATTGCAGGGACATAGGACTCTTTTCCTCAGATACAAGAATAAATATGTATATTTCAGTTTAGATTAGTGAGTTACAAAGCATTTATATTAATAATGTTGTGAAATGTAGAAGTTAATTATAAGATATGCATTTATATTGCATATACTCAGTATATGTATACATACATGAGTAAATAATTTGAATTTGAAAACATAATTTGAACTGTGTAATGTTCCACAGGAAAAAAAAAATATATCAATTTAGAATTGGAAATTGCACCAGTAATAAGCAGACCTTACATTAAAACAGCATTCAGAAAAACACTATTGTATATTTGTATTCTCCAGCACAGGTTTACAAGAACTGGCTCTGAGCAGTTATATCCAGTAGTAATTTGACTATGTTTTAAAAAAATTAAAAATGGAAATAACCAAGTGTCAATTTAACTTTCTTTTTATTTAACAATATAACTCACCCTGGGGTTCCCATTCGATGCCACTAGAGACAAGTTCATCACTAGTAATTAACTCAGCACCCTTGTCCAATGAAGGTCTGTAATTGGAAGTAGAGCACATTCTAATAGATTGCTTCATGCACATGGAAAGTAATCAATATAGTAATTTATACCTAAATACCACCCGAAAGAACAAGCAAATGAACATATTGCATTGCTTCCTACATGTACCAACAGGAGGTTTTGTACAACTATATACATTTATATATATGGATCATTTCTTTAATAAATTATGTAAGGCTTCATTAAAATCAACTATTCCCTCTACTTTTTTATTATCCCATACAGAAGTGTAACTTTACCTTGCATGCATATATAATGATAATATAATGATAATATTATCAGAGACCAAAAAATGTTAGGTATTTACAAATTACAGGACAATGCATCATTTTCTTCTCACAAACTGCAGTGGAAGACAAAATGAATATACCATACAACCTTAAAACTTCTAGCAAAATGAAAATTTGCAGATCTGCTTACCTTATGTACTTTTGTAAGGACGGACATTGATCTACAACACTGCTACTGCCATCACCTTAATAAATAAATAAATACATATATAAATGACTGAATAAACATAAATCCCACTTGTGTAAAGTAATTAAAAAAATAAAGATGCACTTGATATACCTTTGCGTATGTATACCCACTGTATTTACATCTAGCAAACTCACTGTTATCCTCATGTAACCTCATGTAAAGCATTTCACAGCAAGAATTTTTTAGGGAATTTATAATAGGCTTACCATAACTGTTTTCTACAATCTCCTCAGGCTCTTCTGTTTTCTGAAAGTAACGCACACCTAATCAAGCAAAAGGCTTGTAGTTACAAGATGCTCCAAACAACAATTCATGCTTGTACAATAAATCCCTTGAGTACCAAGCTTTTAACAGATTCAGTTGCTTATGTTATCTTTTGGATAGTTTATATATATTATATTAAAAAAGCGATAACTTTAAAGTATTTTGATTTCATGAATCCATTACCTTGATTTTTTTGTCAACAGGTTCTTCATCAGAATCAAAGAGATAAGGATCATACTCTGAAAGAAAATTACATTATCAGTGTACTGAACTAAGCATTGCTTCTCACCATGTACAAATTCATACTATGTTACAATAATTAGTAGTAGGTGTTAAAATGGGGTGTGTGGGGAGTGATGCTGTCTCAAGCCCCCCCGCCCACAAGCCCCTGGCTTCAGTAAAAGTAAGAAAAAAAACCTTACCACTGTCGCTCCCATCATCATAATATATATATATATATATATATATATATATATATATATATATGCTTCATTTCTATCTATCATATATAAGCAAAACGTTCAAGGAGAAACAGACTGAGACAGCATGCTTTATCCTATACATCCCTGCATACTTCATGCAGTTCAACAGGAACACTATTTCACTATATTATTGGAAAATATAAATAATCCCTTTAACTTTAATATGATATCTATATTTTTAAAACTATACAATAACCTTCCATAATAAAAAGTCATTAAGATACAATTAAAAAATAATACATTATAAATTAATGCTCACCTGCACCCAGCGCATAGCAAGTCTTAACTGAAAGGAAATTCAATACTTTATGTAAGAATCATCTTAGTCCAGTATTCTGGGCAAACAGAGACCCCCCCCCCCTCCCACCCTACGCTACAATTAATATCTGCCTCACATGGGAAATTAAATTTCTGAGTCAGTTGAAACAGGTTATATAAAAGATTATTTATGCATAGGCTATTGGCTTAAAAGAGAAATATTAAAGAAGGAATAAATTAAAGTTATAACTATTATCCTGAAACAAACTGTGTTAGAGACTAGATCAGTGCTGGATGAAGATCAGAAATCTAATACACATGATAAATTAGCAGGTAGGAGTATACTAGTATGTTGAGAACATAATACAGAGGATGCTGAAGTAGAAGTTCCAGTGGACAGTAATATATGCTTATTGGCTTTCAATACATCATATTTTGCTTCATTCTGTACACTGTATCCAGTAGGTCTTTTTACTGAATTAAAATTGGTTGAAAAAATTAGAGTGGAAATTCTTAAGTGTTGGAAATTCTGGGCACTCTCAAAACAAAGTCTCAAAATTTGTTTAAGGATAATAAATAAATAATAAAATGTATATAAAGCTGACAAACCCCACAATATTCTGTGTAACTTAGCCACAAAATAAGCTAAAGATCTGTAAATTTGCATAAATTGCATTTGCTTATATAACCATCATGACCAAATTAAAAAAAAGACGCATGAAATGGCAACAAAACTTATATAGTTACATGTGCATCAAGGTATATTATAATTTCATATCTTATACTACGATTTTTTCCCAGAGGTCGATCATAAACACGCAGTAAATCTCCTCACAACATTCTCTAATTATAAACATACGATGAAAACGTGAACTTACCAACTGTTTTCCTCTCAGAACTTAGAAGTGACATATTTTGTGCGGCATGCAGTCACGTACCGGTAGCCATGCCATCAAATGCATTGCGCCAGCGACCTATATCATAAAGGTCAAGGTCATTGCTGACTTTCTTTCAGAAGGAGAAAAAGGTGGCATGTCAAATATCGATCTTGTAAAAAATCCGCGTTGTAAGAAACTGATTGTGCGAAGGGATAGGTATGTGGCTAAATAACACAGATGCCAAGAGATAATTTCGATATATAGCGTATTTTGAAAATTATCGTCGATTTTCCAACGGTCTGCCGTAGCGTGTCTCATAAGTTTTTGGTATACATGTACATCGTAAATATACACGGTTGTAAAAATGCATTTGATTTATTTTTAAATGGGCTTCGCAAACAATATATAATCGATGTAAACAATAACATCGGTGTACCCTTAAGTAACTGACAGCAGATTACTTTTTCAATCTGCCTTTATCTACATTTTTGTAGGGGGGAAAATGTTAGGCAGACCGGCTGCGGTCTGCCTAAAATTCCGGTCTGCGTAATGCTGGCGTTTAAGTGCGAATGGTCTACCTATTGCTGGAAGCAGGAATATATATATATATATATATATATATATATATATATATATATATATATATATATATATATATATATATATATATATATATAGTGGTAGTAATAATTTTGTTTCCGTTGTACACTGGTGTAACCACGTTCGAAATGTTTTAATCCCTATCTTGTGAATAGAAGGGGGCGGACAAACAATGGAGGGCCGTATAAATCCCTTCAAAATTCGATCGCACAAACACAATAGCTTAGGTGGAATAACACAATACTTAAGACGAGTGAACCACATCACGCCGGTTTCTGTTGTCAAGCGCGAGCGCGACAATCCGCTGTAACTAGGTGTAATTAACAGTAGGATACATCAGCCAGAAGGTCCCTTTTGTTTGTTGCAGCGATAGGATTATAGCTTTAAGAGGCTAAAACCCATGCTAACGCGTGCCACGCGAAGTGAACTTTCCTTTTGTTCACTAGTTTGGCACGCGCAGCTGGTTTTTAGTGTTGCTAACAAACTGCTAGTTAAATTTGTTATCAGTTATTTCATCCTATATGAAATTTTCGCAGTCAAAAATTGAACTAAGTAGGCCTATTGTTTGTTTGGTTGAAATGCATGAGCGTCAATCTGTCTCAAAAAAAAATTATTGCATTAATTTATACATGTATAATTTATTTATGTACTTACGTTTTAATTTGAAACATCTGCATTCAAGCATTCAAGTATTTATAAAACATGAATGATAATGAAAGAGGAATAAGGAAAGAATATATTACTTATACTATGCTTATATTATAATATTAAAATTAAATGAGGTGCATTGACATAGGCGCAATGACAATCCAACTACAACGTGCAACAGGGGGAAGTCTGGCTGTGTGATCATACAATATACGAAAGTACAGTCAATTAAAAGTGTAAATCATCAGTTAGGGAGGGGGAGGGGGTCTTATTATAGCTCGCTATCTATTGTTAAACGCGACTGTTATTATCTCTCGAACAAGCTTAAACCATGCCTATACAATCACTGCATCTATCTCCGGCTGCCGTTCAGAAACGCCATGTCGAACATATTTTGCTACAGTGAGAAACATGGTACACTAGCGACTTGTTTTAGATCACTCAAGAAAGAATACATACGTGCAACACCTAAGGAAAATCAATCGAGTATGCAACTGATCTATTAATAGTAATTGCACAGTGCATGTTACTTGACCTTTGTCCTAACTCAGTAGCTTAGACCTAGGGCGTGATGCTATCATCCGCTAAAACCCGTAACTGCACCCTCTACCTGAACCTGAAGTCACTTTAGCTGAAACAAAAACTGCCCCATGAACCTGTCCATTTTTTAATCGTCACAACATCACTTAATAAGTCATTTCACAAAAATGGCATCTAATTGTTTAGATTAACCTTTACTTTTATCGATCTTATCGCCTTGTTTACATGCAGGCGAAGGAGTTATAATTCAATATTAATCGCAAACAATATCAACAGCGACTCAAGACTGTTGCCTGTCTGTCACACTTTTACACAAACAAACGAAGGTTTAATAAAGGGAGTCGCGGCGCGACTCCCAACTCTTTCATTCGAACAAGCAAAGGGGTGACCCGAAGTAAGCTTTCTAAACTAATGTCCTTTTTATTGTATATTGTAATTACTCCACTTGCTCGCCTCCATTGTCTTGTAAAAGTGACAAAGAATGTGTTGTATTCACACACGAGTTGAAAGAACTTCGCATAACTCCTTTGCCTTGTTGCATGATGTCTTTCTCAAGGTTATAATCAGTGTGAAGAGGGTGTCTTGCCTCATTTAAAAAAGGTGTTGTTCTTCATACTGGTGGTTGCTTAACTTATGCTAATCTATTATGTGCAAATATGGTTTTAATAAATCGCCAAAATTATGACATTAATGAACATTGTGTATCAAACGTTTTGATACGATTTAAATAAATGGACGAGGAGGATTACGGTATTAGTTACTATTTACCTCTGGCTTTAACTTCGCCCTGCTATATAAATGAACAAATGTTGCAGATCGTAACAAAAAACTTTCTTATAGTGTTTTATGACATATGATTTACACATTGGAAAGTGAAACACTCCTCAACTTTAACGAATCACCTGACGTAAACTGTCTTCCCACGCTCCCCGAAAAAAAAGCCTTTCTTTGAATTTCGAAATGAATTGCTTTTAAGACAAAAGCAGCAGCAGTGGCTTAAATGATCGCTATCTCGCGATCGGCTCCTTTTTCTTTGACAGCAACATAAAGTGTTTAGGGAGAAAGTCACACAAAGACCCGACGTTGTTTTGTCTTCAGCATTTCCTCTTCCTTGTTTACTGCAATTACTATCGTAAATTAATGAAATCGAGAAAGCAATTAAGTGACGACACATTGAATATAGTCACTAGGTGCATTTCGCTGAGTGTTTACAAAGTCTACCGACACATTTTATCGCCTCGCGTTCTAGTCTGATAAATCAGTGGGTGTTTATTATAAATCGGGAATCA